GGCACACATGGCAGTAGTGCCACACAAAGGCCAACTCTGCAGCCATAGCCCACTGACTGCTGGCCCAGAGGGGCAGATGCCTCATCCAGGTCTGGCAGGTGAGCAGCAGGTCGCAGCCAGGCAGCAGCCCCCACTGCCAGACTGCTACAGTGAGTAAAAGGTACAGGTAACTCTTAGGGCTGCTTCAATAGTCCAGCTGGCACAAGGGGTACTGTCCCCAGGTACCAATTGGCTGGGCCCCAGAAGCTCCTGAGAGTGAGAAGCCTTGAAGCTACTTGCCAGAGCAGCTTTTTGTACTGATGCGACCAGGACAGGGAAGCTTTTTATACTGCTGGGGACAGCACAGGTGCTGGCCCCAGTCTCTAGTTCCCCCTGGCTGCAGATTTGGGAGGAGCCAGGCAGGGTTATTTTGCCCCAAGTGGCACAATTTGCTTCACAACAAAGTGCATGTGTGAGCACATGCGCTGAGGCAAAAAGCCCAGGCGTTTCCTTTGACTTAAATGCTACCTAGGATGTTCTAGGATGGGGAATAATAATTAGCTTTAGAAATGTTTAGGTTTTAAGCCTTTTCATATATTGAGTTAAACCCAGCTAGTGCCAAAGAAAACTTCATATGAGTACTGAGATTCAATAGTGGCTTGTCACTGTGTATTTAGTACATGTGCAGTTTGATATGACTGCAGATCAGCATACTGCTCTGATGCTGCAACAGAACGTGGCAGTTTTATTGACTTATTCAGTTATGTTGATGATATTTGAATTTTTTTTTCTGTTCTAGGTTTAGCATAAGCAGGAAAAAGTTTAGGTGTCAGGTTCTGTAACATTCACTGATATGATGTATGCATTTTTAATACCACAGCAGTTGGCACTGTAAAAGCCTCAGTTTTAAAATATACCTTTCAATTTTGATACTTGTGATAATGAACTATCAAATAACATTGTCTTGTAGTTCAAACTCTTGTTCACTTTGAGCAATGAACCATCAGGCACTGTGGGGGGAGGAGGGAGAATACATCTCTTTAATTTTAGGCATCCTTTGGAAAGAAAGAAATATCATTTAAATCAATGCTCTAAAATATAAGCCTTCTTTGTGTTTGATCACACACAGGTATGTGCACTGTTGCATACATGAGTAGAACTAACAACAATCATTAGGAAAGGGAGCACATGTCAAATTTGATCCTTCATTAATAAGACCACTGCAGTGTGGCTGCCAAATTTCTCCTAACTAGCAAAATATAAGATAATGCCTCCTTGTTTTGTTCCTCATTATGTGCCTACCAAGTTACCTATCTTATCTGAGGACTTGAGCCTATTTTAATTGAAGCCAACTGCAAAACTTCCATTGGCTTCATTGGCACAGGATCATGTCTATGAGGATATTAATTGTGCACTCCTGAGCTGAACACTCAAGCCTATCTCATCAGCAGAGGGATAATGAGCAGGGTTTGCACCCTGCTCATGTGGGAGATGGGGGAAATGCTACTGACTACTGGAGGAGAGGAGGTATGCAGGGGAGAGCAGGGGGAGGAGGAAGGGAGAAGGAGTCTTAAACTGCTCCTGGACTTCACAGTTTCATAGCAGATTTAGGTTAGACATCAGGAAGAACTTCTTTATGGTAAGGGTTGCCAGAATCTGGAATGGGCTTCCGAGAGAGATGATGCTCTCCTTTACCTTGGGCGTCTTTAAGAGGAGGCTAGACATACACCTGGCTGGGGTCATCTAACCCCAGCGCTCTTTCCTGCCCAGGGCAGGGGGTCAGACTCAATGATCTACTGAGGTCCCTTCTGACCCAAATATCTATGAATCTATAGTTGTTAGGGGCTAGAAGGGACCTTACTTAAAAAAAAAAACCCATCCCTGACTGCTGCTGCCACAGCATGCTCCTTCCTTCCCCAGGTGCTGCTACTAAAGCATATAAGCCAGTTGCAAAATGTCCGAAGCTGGTTTAAGTTAAACCTGGTTGAATGTAGTATCAGACTTAACTGATTTGGGTCAAACTGGTTTATGGAACTTCTGTCCCAGACCCCTTCCTGATTTAAGTTCAATCAGAGTCCCCTAGATCCCAGCATGCTTTTCAGCTCTGGGCTGGGCTGTCTGCTCCAGAGAACAGGGCTGACCCCACCTCTCTCCTCCCTAGTCAGAGCTCCAGCTGGCTGAGAAGGGGGTGGGGGACTATGGCTGGGGTCTGCTTGACAGGGACACAGCAGCATCTGCCAGGCTTCCCTGTGCTCCCACCCTCTCTTACCACTTGCTGTTCAACCACGGATTCCCCTCACCTCCACTCCCCCTCACATGGTAGGGACCACAGCAGTACAGTCACTACCATGCTACCTAATGCTGAGAGGTGTTTATGTGTGTGTGTCTCCAATTTCACTGGAACAAAGGCAGACAGAAGTGTCCACTTTTTTTTCCTGAGGAAGTAGCCAGTGGCTTGCAAATGCCTTGCAAAATGCCTGTACCCTGCACTAAGAAGAGTTTGAACTAATGAGAGGGAGGCTTTTGTTTTCTTGATGGGGTAATAAGCTTTGTGTTCTGATAAGCTCCCTGATGGCTGCTGGCTTGCTTCAAAGCCACAGCCCTGAAACCCTTATATCAAATGAAGTTTCCTTGTACAGTGACTAGTGCTGGTGATTGCTTATACACATCACTTACTGAGCCTGGTTAAAGTGCAGCTCCCCATCCCACAATGTGTCAATGTTCAACAGGGGACAGAGAGAGGTGTGAGAAATGATTTGGTCTGCAATGAATGGGACCTATCAGTGCTGTCAGTTTAAGCAAATACAAAGCACTAGCTAGCAGGATAATATAGATGCACGAAGTCCACACAAGCAGCTTTCCCCCTGCCCCCTTTGCCTCAGAGTGCTAGCTGGGGCCAGGGTTTGGCAACACCCCCTGCCCCTTGAGCTGCGAGCGAGGGAAAAGCCTGGCAACGGCTACTTCCCCCCACACTCTGGCTGGGGACTGTGCAGGTCAGGGTTGGGGTTTAAACCCCTCCCTAACCATGATGTCTTTCCAGGGCCTGGCCATCACCCTCCCCAGCTCAGTACTGTGGAATAGAAGGGAGGGCTCACTCTAGCACCCCCCAGCTTCTGGCCTGAGCCACTGCGGGCATGTGCCTGCATTTCCTGAATCAAAAGTGAATGTCTATTCACTTGCAAATCGGTGCAATCTATGCAGGTTAGATTAACCTGCAAAGATTGAATCAATTCAGGCTTTTTGAATGTCTGTCCCTAGCCTCAAAAGTTAAACTACTGCTCATCAAACATACCTATTCTATACTCATACCTCATCCCACTGTTGCCTTGTAGATCTGCAAGTAAGGTTGCTGGGAGCTGAGTCTGTACCATTCAATGTGGAGTAGTATAGCTAACAGACCACCAAAAACTTACCTGCACCCAAGCACAGCCTCTACTCACACGTGAGCATCTGAATGCAACAACCTTGTGCATCATGCAAGGTTTTGCAGGATATTTTATTGTTAAATCTAAATCTCTTACACAGAGATGCCTACTGTGAACTAACTATAGGCTTTTCTTCTTAGAACTGAGCATATGGAAATCCTACTAAAAAGATGGTTTACCATGAAGTAGGCCTTTCCCTCTAAGATCCTACTGAAGGCTCACATTCTGGGTGCCTGTACACATGCAGGGACACTACTCCAATGTGCTGAAATTACAGCATGTTGGAGCAGACTCAATTCATTCACCCATTATTCTAGAGGGTCACATGGCATGAACCATGATGCAATGCTACTACGTAGTAGTTACAAGCTACTGCGCAGTCAGTGTCACCAGGAAGCTGTGCGGGAATGCTACTGTGCAGTAATGCCGGTTACTGCAGTCAGTCATTTAGGACTTGGATATGCAAGTATTAAATGACTGTAGTAACAACTGGGCAGTCAATATCTTATATAAACATGGCCACTGACTTGAAGCATCTAAAAAGTCCTGCCTGAGTTTAATCAACATGCATGTCTTACCTCTTTAAATATTCTGTTTTACAAAGTCATGCCCATGAAATGAGGGGAGAAAACTACACACATTACCAGGCCCAGTGCTCATGCCTATGAGACGTTCTTTTAAAAACTTTTAACTTATCTGTTCATGAAATAAAGTATTACACCCATCTGCTAAATAAGGATTATATTCTGTAAGAGAAAACATCAAGTGAAATGCTGGCATCTTTGAAACAAATGGGAGTTTTGCCTTTTGCTGGATCCAGATTGTGTCTTTAAAACTATCATGCTTATAATATTAAATTTGGGGTGAATGGTTATTAGAGAAATGGTATTAAACAACAAAAAGAAAATAAAGTGGCTTCTCATTGCAAACAAACAAAAACCTAAATGAATGTAAAAAACCCCAATATTTGCAGCAATAATGATAGCAATACCCGGTGTTAACCAACTAACTGTAAAAAGACAATGTGGGAACTTATATATTAAGCTGTCTGGTCGCTATTTTGGTCCCACAAAATAAGGCAATAGTGGGCACAGCTACACATTCATTTACTCCAACCTAGATTTACTGTGCAGTAAGCTACTGCACAGTAAGGGTTTTTGGGTAGGTGTCTATACATGCAAGGATTAGGGAGAAGATTTGCTCCCAGTTCCCTGAAGCCCTGCAATACACCCCTGTGGCTACTGGGGGGAGCTCCAGGCTCCCCCTGGATGCTAGCCCAGATACTCACAAGGAGCACTGGGCCAGTAGACAGCCCTGGGAGGTTGCCTTCTGCTGGGGCAGGGACAATGTCCCCCTGTCCCAGCAGCATTACTCCAAGTAATGTATGCCTAGGGCCAAGACTCACAAAGCCTGTTGATCTTAACTCTATTCTTCAAAAGTCACAAACAGCTGAATGGCAGATCTATGCTTTAAGTTACATAAACCAGCTTAACCACAGGCATTGTTCAGTAGAAATAAATATGGCAAAAAGATCCCTTAGTGCTGTAGTTTACAAAGGAAAATCTCTAAAGGCCACATATATTTCTTCCCACTCACCATCATCTGCGTCAGCCAGGATGATTACTTTGGTGCTAGGAAATTCGGGACCAATCTGTCCACCCATTGGCATGCTTAGCGTAACGTTGAAGGTCTCATCTTCCTCATAGAGGGAATCATCAATAATGATTACGCGACAAGTTTTCTCTGTCTCATCCTTATCAAAGTGAATGATGCTGGTGTGATCTTCGGGACGGGAGATGTAGTCAGAGTAGGACAAGACAGAAGACGGAATGGTGCCTGTGGCAGAACCTACAAGGAGAGAGAAATAAACAGCAGTAATTATTAGTAACGAATTAAATACAGGGACCTTTGATGAATATTCACAAGTAACTGAATAAAAAGTGCTAATGTATTTTATATTTGGAATAGTCTCTGTGAAACAACAATTAAATGCTTACTTTTTATTCCCATAATGTTTTGTGAAAAGTGAAAAAAAATCATGACATTTGTTTTCGACTTTTAGACTGTTACAATTTATTTAAACACAATGAATAAAGACATTCTTATTCAAAAATATTTTTTGTTTGAGGCATACTTTCTTGAAGTAATCTTTATGGGCCAGCTAATATAGTGCTTAATCAAGCACAAATCAATGAGGCTGTATGGGTTGTTAGTGAGAAAGCAAAGAATTAATTCCAACCTTTGTTTATAGGACACTCAAATACTGAAATACCAAGAGTATGTGTAAAAAATAATTTATTTTGATGACATAAAACAAAAACTCTTTCCTTCTTATATAGTATAAAAAGACAAAACTAATCTCATTTTATCCTCTGGTTAAAAAAAAATCCACTTATGCCTGGTTTCACCTTTGCTAAAAGGCCAGGATGTCAATAGGTAATATTTATTTTGGCATAAATGTACATAATCCTATTTCCTCATTAAAACTACTTCATTATCACTCTGAACAGTCTCAATTATTATTCAACAGGTACACCTACACATTCATTAATGTGTTTTTGCTACTGCACAATAAATATAGTACCTCTAAGGTGAGGTACTTAATCAATGTGCATTAGGCTGCCCTACGGTGCAGTAGCTAAAACACATACTTTTATAGTGATGTTAAATATGCAGTAGCCTAATTTTACTGTGCAATAGCATATTAGAAGGGGT